GGCGTGCCCCTCCGCGGCCGCTCTCGCTGCGTCCCTGCCGCGCGCCCTCGCCGCGCGTCCTTGCCGACGCGGGCTGGCCGTGGGGGCACCGCCCGCCCGGGGGCCCCGAGGCGGGCGCAGGCACTGCGGCAGGCGCGGCGCGCGGCGGAGGGGCCAGGCACCGCGGCAGCTTCGCAGCGCGCGCTGTCTGCGGCGGCGGCCCCGGGGCGCGGGCGTTCGAGGCCGAGCGCCGCCGGGGGCCCGGGAGCTGCGCCAGGAGGAAGTCGCGATCGCTCCAGGCTTCGAGGTCGCGATCGTTCCGGGTTCGAGGTCGAGGTGCGTGGTGCCAGCAGCCCACGCGCACGCCCTCGCGGCGCGAGCCCGGCGTGGCATATCTCGAGTGGCAGAAGGCGAAGCAGACGCGGAATGACTACATACGCACACACTTTCGGAGCTCCGCGCGGGTTTCATGTATCGGCGCTGGACCCCCCTGGCGGCGCCTCTGGCGCCGCCCCTGGCGCGCTCCGCGCGCCAGGAACTCCGCGCGGAGCTCCGACAGTGTTCTCTTATACCGTGTGTTGGTCCTTCAGCATCGCTGCAAAACACGACCAGGGCCTTTCGGCCCCATCGTTCTGCGGCATTTCCAGAGCCGGATTGATCCGTGAGCGGCTCGGGTTCTCCTGCCGGTGAACGAAGATGCACGGGGCAAGAGGAGTATTTTGGAGGAGGAGGAGGAGGAGGAGGAGGAGCAGGAGGAGGAGGAGGAGGAGGAGGAGGAGGAGGAGGGAGGAGGAGGAGGAGGAGGAGGAGGAGGAGGAAGAGAGGAGGAGGAGGAGGATGAGATGAGCAGGAGGAGGTGGAGGAGGAGGAGGAGGAGGAGGAGGAGGAGGAGGAGGAGCAGGAGGAGGAGGAGGGAGGAGGAGTGTGAACAAATACGCCGCTCCCAGCCCTCAGGCGGGGGCTGGGTGGGTGGCTGGCGCCAGTCGCCGGACGCTGGATCTCTCGGCCCTTGCTCGGCTTCTCGACGGTCCTGTGGCCTGGAAGCCAGAGTCGGCCACGCGCAGAGGGAAGGGGGAGGGGGGAAGGCCTCTCAGAAGCACCCCTGCTTCTTAGAAGCGGCGGGCCTTATCTGTGGATGTAGGGCCCGCGCCTTCTAAGAAGCAGCGTCCTTCTAAGAAGCCTCCCCCCCTCCCCCTACCCCTTGTGCGCGCCGCCAGCAGAGGAGGCTGCAGTGGCGAAACAGGCCAAGACATTTTTACGTCGGCGGCTAGGCAGAGTGACTGCGCTGGCGAGTAAAGCGGAACTGGGCAACGTTAGGCGAATTCAGCCACCATGCAGGAGGGGGGGGGAGGAAGGGCGACGAGGCCACGGCCGAGGCGAGGAGACATAAACAAGCCAAGACATGTGATGCCTCATTTTTTTCCACACGGGGCCCCCGGAAATCCCGACCCTTCCCCCAGGGCTGGCTTTTCTTTCCGGGTCGTCTTGTGGCGGTCCCCGAGCAGCGAAACACCTACAGCCGTGCTTTGCCGTGGCGCGAGCATGATCTGGGAAACGATCTGGCGCGATTTTCCCTGAGTGGCCGGAGTAGGGGAACGAGCAATGACACAAGCATAAAGACTCGGAGGTCCGCGCGGATTCCTCGGATCGGCGCTGGACCCCCCTGGCGGCGCATCTGGCGCCGCTCCTGGCGCGCTCTGCGCGCCAGGGAGGGGGCTCGAGCGCCGATCCGAGGACTCCGCTCGGAGCCCCGAGGTTTTCTGCTCGTGTCATGGCTCGTTGCCCATACAGAGGTCTGGCTGCGTGCCCCCCCCCCTCCCAGGGCACGGCCGAGCAGGAGTTCGTGGTCGGCCGCCACAGCATCGGGCCCATCAACAAGGCGGGCGGGGCGGCGCGCCAGGCCGGCCACAGGCAGAGGAGCGCTGTGGTCTCTTCACCCTCCCGCGAGAGGCTCGGCAGACAACGAGGAGGAACTGAGCACACGGCCGGTAACCGCAACTTGGCGTGTCGCGCCTGGCGTGACTCGCTGCCCACGTCTCCATGCCAAAGCGTCAGCGTCCCGAGCCTTTCCCAGCCTCACGCCCCAGGGAGCCGCCGCGACGCGCCGTCAACTGGCAGGGCACAGCGCGTCGCAGGGGAGCCAGGTGGCCACCGACACGCGGTGCGAAGGCCCCGGCCCCCCCGCGCTGAGCCTCCCGGGCCCCGCCCTTGCGGATCTGCGCGCTCGTGCTCGTGCTCGTGCCGCGGAGCGATCGAGAGCTCCCCGGAGCCGTCCACGAGAGGCGCCAGGGGGCGGCTCAAAGGTGGCCCAGGTCTGCCCCAGGAGCGCCCCCCGAGGGCGCCCAGGCGGTGGCCCAAGACGGCCCAAGGGGGGCCCCGGCGGAGGCCCTGGACGCTTCTTTTGGTTGGCCGCGCACGCCGCCGCATGCTCCTGGACGTCCCCGAGGTGCCCCCCATGGTGCCCCCAAGGCGGTCCGCGGGGGGATGCTCAGATCTGACGCTGCAAGAAGTGCAGCGTCGCGAGAAGTCCTGCCCCAGAGCTCCAGGGCCCGATCTGCCTGCCTCGTGGCCCGGGCCGGCCGGATCTGTGAGGGCGCCGGGGCCCGAAACCCGGCGAAAACGCTCGCTGCGAACGAATGGCAGCGCCAGGCGCTGAAGGGAGGCCGAGGCAGGGGGGCCGGGGGCGCCAGGATCGCTGCCTCGACCTGGGGGCGCGCAGGCGGGGAAGCGGGGGCGGCCCTCGAAGGCAGCTCCTGCCTTCTCGAGGTTTCCTCCGAGAAGGCCCCCGAGCTCCGCCGAGCCCTGGGAGAGGCCCCCTGGGTCCCCTCCGGGAAGCCAGGGGCGTGTGTGCTCCCCCCTCCCCCCGAGGGCCAGAGGCAGGGGGGAGCGCCCTGCCCTCCCAGAAGGCCCAACCCCCGGCCCTTTCGCCTCGCCTGCCTGTTCGGGCTCGGGCCAATGGGTCCTCTGCAAGGAGGGGCTTAAGAATGTATACGGCAGTTATATATATATATATATATATATATATATATATATATATATTACAATCGTTCGTGCGGGCTGCGCAGGTCGTACAGTACTTGCATGTGGCTGTAGCGCGCCATGCGCTACCATTTTTTGTGTGTTTTGTTTTGTGCTTTTCTTCTAGAGCCCAATAGGCCACAGGAGGGCTCCCAGACTGCGCAGATTTTGTTTTTTTGCATATTTGTGCCAGGGGGTATCATGTCTTCCGCGGACAGATGGCTCTGGGTGGGGGGCCAACAGCGTCCACAACTATTTCAGGATGCTTCACATTTGAGCGTTGTGACATCCAGGGTTGCCTTAGGAGGGCCACGCGCTAGCCCTAGAGATCCCCTGGATGACCTCAGACAGCCCGAGAGGGCCTAAGGTGGCCCAATATTCTCCAGCAGGTCACAGGGGAACACTAGAGAGCTCTACAAGAGGGTCCCAAGAACGGAGAAGCGAATCAGCAATCCTCCTGAAGGTTCCCCGACGACCTCCGAAAGCTCCAGCAGCGTCTAAGAGTCCCGTCGGCTTCGCTCGACAGAGTCCACAGAGCATTAAGTCGTCCTCGTCGTCGTGGCCGTGGTCGCCGTCGTCGTCGTCGTCGTCGTCGTCGTCGTCGTCGTCGTCGTCGTCGTCGTCGTCGTTGTCGTCGTCCTCGTCGCTGAATTCTCATTTCTGAAGAATATTACAATTGCCCCCCCCCATGTGGCAATTGCATTTTTCCATTAAAGTGCTTCTCCCAGGGCTCGTACACTGTTTTTTACAAGCGGAAACGAAGTATTACCAAGCTGTGTTGTTGGGCCCTGTTTTGCAGCAACAACGGCTCCCGCTTGATATTTCCTCAATTTGTTCCCAAATCGCGCTCTCGCGCGGGATTTCCTCACAATGTGCACACAGAAATCGCGCTCTCGCGTGTCACATCCTTGCAATTTACTCAGACGCCGCGCCCTCGACACTCAGGAATCACGCTCTCGCTGTGGATTTCCTTACGATTTATTTGACAGTCGCGCTATCGCTCGAGACTCTCTCGCGACTCATGCAGGACGCACGCTTCAGCAACCCGACTGCCCCTTGTCCCTTCCTTCCATCCGTCCTCTCTTCCCCTGCCGTAGGGGCTGCATGAAATACACGTTGCAGGAAAGAAAGGTCTACCACTAAGGGGTTACGATCGAAGACGAAGAGGGCGGGTACTATGGGTTCGGGATATACATGTTGAGTGGCACTCGAGCAGATGAGAACGAGCAGTCTTACCATTGTTGTTTTTGTTGTTGTTGTTGTTGCTGTTGTGGTTGTTGTTATTGTTGTTGTTGTTGTTGGGGTTGTTGCCTTTTTTGTTGTTGTTGTTATTGTTGTTGTTGTTGTTGTTGTTGTTGTTGTTGTTGTTGTTGTTGTTGTTGTTGTTGTTGTTGTGGTTGTGGTTGTTGTTGTTGTTGTTGTCGTTGTTGTTGTTGTCGTTGTTGTTGTTGTCGTTGTGGTTGTTGTTGTTGTTGTTGTTGTTGTTGTTGTTGTTGTTGTTGTTGTTGTTGTGGTTGTTGTGGTTGTTGTGGTTGTTGTTGTTGTGGTGGTTGTTGTTTTTGTCGTTGTTGTCGTTGTGGTTGTGGTTGTGGTTGTTGTTGCTGTTGTTGGTGTTGTTGTTGGTGTTGTTGTTATTGTTGCTGTTGTCGGGTTCGTTGTCGTTGTCGTTGTCGTTGTCGTCGTCGTCGTCGTCGTCGTCGTCGTCGTCGTCGTCGTCGTCGTCGTCTTCCTCCGCGCCGCGCCAGGGGGTCGTCGGCATGTGCGTGGGCGAGTCCCGCCGCATCACCGTGGTGATCGAGCAGGACGCGCGCGCGGGCCGTCCGTCTCGTCTCTCCGCCCCGCCGCGCTCGCCTCCTGGCACCGAGGGGGGGGCGGAGAGAGGGCAGGATCGAGGAGGAGGAGGAGGAGGAGGA